TTGTTGTTTTAGCTTATCTGTTTTCGGATTTTATGATGTGGGTTTGATTTATTTATGGTTTTGGTTAGATGCTCGAAGACCCTTTTGCGGCCAGAGAAAGTGGTTTGTGCAAAGTTGTGTGATTGACTCTAAAATTTACCACCCTCTACCTCTCTTTTTAGCTTCCTTTTGCTATTTCCTTCACATCTCTTTTCAATTGATGCTTGATAAAGTCATATGCTGCTTTACATTGGTGGAACACTTTTTTTAAATGGGGATAAGGATTTAGTGCTTTTTGGCTGAGATTTAGCTTCAGGGTAGTTTATATGCTATCGTGCTTTTTGGCCGAGATTTAGCTTCAGGGTAGTTTATATGCTATCGTGCTTTTTGGCCGAGATTTAGCTTCAGGGTAGTTTATATGCTATCGCCTCTCGCCTTACAACTTGACTATGGCTAGCCACAACCCATTGGTTCTTGAAAATTTCCATATCTGAAAAATCATTCTTTACTGCTCGAGTATTTGACTCTACTATTTCGAATTGAAAACCTTCACTTGAGTACACCAGTCTCGAAAGTCTTGTATCAACTTGAATCCACTCGTCAAAAGTGTGATTATGGCTTTATGATGATGTTTGTTGACTGTTAAATCAATTGAAAAAAATGCTTATTGGTCATTCCGTGTTGACAGGGTCTCTTGGGCGAATCCGGAGATAAAAAAGTGCTCGGAATCTGATCATGGGAAGCTAAACACGCGTTTTCCTCTGATCTGAAAAAAGTTTAGTTATCCTTGTGTACTTTTATAGTAATGGCGTCGACCACGTGCCCTAGACCTCCTCCACCAGAAACGCCACAAAAAGTCGTCCTTAATTCAACAACCCAAGAAAAAGAGTCGGAAAAACTAACCACGCCATCTGTTAGTTCAGATTCCAAAACCCCATTATCCAGCGGGCCCCAACAAGCCTCCACTACAGTTGACCCCGAAGCCCCTGATGCCACAACCTCTAGGGACACCTCCGTTGACCAAGAAAAGAAAACATCCGACCCTGGAAGCATGAAGAACAGCTCTGCTTCTCTACCCAAGACCAGTGGGAGTGCGAAAATCAGTGAAAAGGCTGAATTTGTGGAGAGCGGGAAAAGTAGCATTTGCCGAGCGAGCACGTGCAGTGACATCAGTGATGAGAGCACAAGCAGCAGCTTCAGCAGTGGCGTAAACAAACCCCATAAAGCAAATGATGTGAGGTGGGAGGCGATCCGGGCCGTCCGATCCAGAGATGGTGGGGTCCTTGGGCTTAGCCATTTCAGGCTGCTCAAGAGGTTGGGGTGTGGAGATATCGGGAGTGTCTATTTGGCCGAGCTGAGTGGGACTGGGTGCCATTTTGCGATGAAGGTCATGGACAAGGCGTCGTTGGCGGGCCGGAAGAAGCTGCTGCGGGCCCAGACGGAGAGGGAGATACTTCAGTCATTGGATCATCCCTTTCTGCCGACTCTGTATAGTCATTTTGAGACGGATAAGTTCTCGTGCTTGGTGATGGAGTTCTGCCCCGGTGGGGACCTGCACACGCTCAGGCAGAGGCAGCCGGGGAAGTATTTTTCTGAGCAGGCCGTGAAGTAAGTTGTTCTCCTGGCTGTTCATATTTATTTACTTTTTTTTTTCAGTGAAAAACTGATGTAGCAATTGATTATCTACCTCTATCTGTTGGTTGAATCTCAGTTTGGTTGCAAATTGCAATGCGTCTGCTGAGATGCTTTTTTTATTTCGCAAATACGGTAAATTGCTTTCTAGCATCATGTTCATTTCTGCAAATCTTTCGTAGCACATAAACACCATATTTTTCTTACCAGCAACGATGTTTTTCTAAAACCTTGGATCGAGTAATTTCATTTCTTTAATTGCATAAAAATGCTAAAATGCTTTGAAGTTTGTTTCATCTTTTTTTTTTTTTTGGCTGCTTCTCCTGATTTCTTCTGTTGTTTTTTTCAAACACCGCATTCCAGTGGAGTTGTTTTACATTCTTGCCTGAACGGAGAACACAAGTCCTGTACATAACTAACACACAATGTGTTCTTTTTTCCTTATTCATGAACTTTGGCTAAAGATTTCGTTACTGTAAAACACAACAGATAAATATTTCAATCACTGATAAATTCTTACTTCCTTCTTCTACTAAAAAAACATAAAAAAATTCCTCTTCCCCCTTGTTTTCCCCTGTTCACAGATTCTACGTGGCCGAAGTTCTCCTCTCCCTCGAGTACCTCCACATGCTGGGTATCGTTTATCGCGACCTAAAGCCCGAGAACGTCCTTGTCCGGGACGACGGCCATATCATGCTCTCCGACTTCGATCTCTCCCTCCGCTGCTCCGTGAGCCCCACCCTCGTCAAGACGTCGTCCATCGACTCCAACCCCCAAAACCGAAACCCCACCTACTGTGCACAGCCTGCCTGCATCGAGCCCACCTCTTGCATTCAGCCTTCATGCGTCATCCCCACATCCTGTTTCGCCCCACGCCTTTTTTCCTCCAAATCCAAGAAAGACCGGAAAAAACAGCAGCCACCGGCCCGGAACGAGCTGGGCAGCCAGGTCAGCCCGCTTCCTGAGCTCGTGGCCGAGCCCAGCAATGCCCGCTCAATGTCGTTTGTCGGGACCCACGAGTATCTTGCCCCTGAGATCATCAAGGGGGAGGGCCACGGCAGTGCGGTCGACTGGTGGACCTTCGGGATCTTTCTGTATGAGCTCCTCTTTGGGAAAACCCCATTCAAGGGGTCGGGCAACCGGGCCACGCTCTTCAACGTCGTGGGCCAGCCCCTCAGGTTCCCAGAGTCTCCGGTGGTTAGTTTCGCGGCCCGGGACCTGATCAGGGGCCTGCTCGTCAAGGAGCCCCAGCACAGGCTGGCTTATAAACGTGGGGCCACCGAGATCAAACAGCACCCATTCTTTGAGGGGGTGAATTGGGCCCTGATACGTTGCGCCACGCCTCCCGAGGTCCCAAGGCCCGTCGACTACGAGAGGTTGCCTGGGCCAAGCCCAGGCCCAAATCCGCCTGCTGGTGAGAAGGCGGCAGCTGATCAGAAAGGCGGTAAGTATCTCGAGTTTGACTTTTTCTAGGTGGTGTGAAATTTGGGTGATGGCATGTTAGTGGGGGGGGGAATGTGAACGCTTGGATGTGGAATTGAAACTTGCAATATTGAATTTTTAGGACATCGCGTGGATCCGATTTTTATGTTAAATCTCGACTTTTCTTTAGACGCTATACGTTTTTCTGTATGTATGCTGATGCGTCATTTGGTGCCGACTGTTTATGTCTATCGACCACCACGCAACGATAGCTGTGAATTGCGGTGTGACCGGAATCACTTTTTGAATGCGCTTTTGGCTCGATAATCTGTTTTAGATTTGGTCTTGAGATTTGCTTCGTAGTCATACAGTGAGAAAAGATCTGGTCTTGAGATTTGCTTGCTTTACTTTAGCATGGGATTTCTAATCTTCACTATTTTTATAGATATTAGTGAATTTTTCTTCCATAGAATATTGATGAGGAACAGGCCGTTTGTTCTGTTGTGGAAAATGCGGCAAACATGAATATGACTATTGTTGTTATGTTGTGGAAAATGCTCCAAACATGATTGACTATTGTTGTTGTGGAAAGCAAGAAGTAATTGTTTTCAAGGTCATGGTTTCAAGGTCATGGAAGTAGGTTTTTTGGTTTTATTTTGATTTATTGAATAAAGTGAGTTATTTAGAAAAATTTGACCCTTTTTTTTTTTAATAAAAAAAATTATAATTTATATATAGATATGTACTCTTTTGAAATATAAAAGAATAATTCATATATATATATATATATATATATATTTATTCGAAATATAAAGTTATCTCTCTCTATATATTAATTCAAAATGTATTAAGGCTAAGTGGTAGATTCACACGCTTCGGATGCTGACATGACAAAAATTTATGATTCGGATTGTTGTTTGTATATTATTTTTTTTTTTTTTTTTTGCATTTGAATTAGGCTTGATATAGACATAAATAACTTTTTTCAAATTTGGCAAGTGTACATTTAATTTTGTTATTTATTTCTTTAAATACAAATTTTCTTCTTAATTTGGGCAAGTAATATTCTTACTATCTTATAATTTTGTTTCATATTTATCTATTAAATTACAATTTGCAAATCACTTCTTGCACTATTTATTTCCCTTTTTTATTAATTAATTAGTCCATCAAAATTTTTAATAAAATTTTTATTTTAACAATAACTTTTATAATAAATGTTTAACTCAACACTGTAGCACACGGCACACGGATATTGTACTAGTGTTTATTTATATATGGGAAGTTCATACTATTTTAATATATTATTTTTAAAATATAATATATTTCAACTTCAAAGCAAGTATAGTACAGTTTTATGGTCAATAGGCCTCCTAACAATCTAATCGTGATGATGACATATTTGGAAAAGACTAATTATTAGGAAATGTTATGGAACTCACATGGAAGTGTGTTTTTTCATGTGATTGATTTTTAGCTTGTTGAATTAGAATATGGCAAATACAGGGCACACCTTGTTAGGTGGCCTTTTGTAAAACACACCTTTCCTAAAAGCGCGTGAGTAAAGAGGTAAGATAATTTTTTTTTTAAATGGGAACATGTGTCTCGTTTCTATCGGGTAATGAAATTCATATATCATATTATATAAATTAAATTATTATTTATATTTTGTATCAAAAAATAAAAATACTAAAATTCATAATTTTTCATTCTTTACAAAGAGAGACCACATTTGATATTTTTTGAAACACAATTAATTTATCATTTTTTACAATTAATTTATCTTATTGAAAGATTATGGCATAAATCTATAATTAGATGAATATGTTACATAATAAGATTAACATGTTATAGAGTAAGATGAACATGTCATAGAATAAGATGAAAATGTTACATTTTCACAGATGAAATTTAGATGAACATGTTCTAAAATAAGATGAACGTGTTACATAATAAAATGAACATGTTATAGAATAAGATGAACATGTTACATAATAAAATGAACATGTTATAGAATAAGATGAACATGTTACATGCACAATAAGGTGAACATGTTCCGTAATAAAATGAACACGTTATAGAATAAGATGAACATGTTATAGAATAAGATGAACATGTTACATACACAATAAGGTGAACATGTTGTAAAAGAAGATGAATATGTATTATTTCAATCTGCAATCTGTAACATGTTCATCGTATTTGAAAACATATTCATTTTATTATGTAACATATTCATTATATGTCAGTATAATAAAATAATTACGAAAAAATGAAAAATTAGTTGTGTTCAAAAACCTATTAAATGTGGTATCTATTTATAGATAATGAAAAATTATGAATTTTGATATTTTTATTTTATTTTTTTAATATAAATAATTAATGATATTTTAATTTATGTAATATGTCTCATTTTTCAATTAAAAAGGAAAAATAGAAATGTGCACTACACTTTTCAAATTTTCTTGTTTTTGGGGTGAGAGGCGCGTGCAAAACTGCTGTGGCACACCTAGCTAGGTGTGCCAGGGCACACGGTAGTACTACTGGTTGAACATAGGACATGGTAGGGCAGAATTTGTCTTTCATCTTAGGCCTTAGCTCATGCTATTAGCTGAATTGACTTTTTTTTTTATTTTTTATTT